TGCCGCTCGCAGAACGAGCCCCGGCTATGTTTTAGGCCGGCTCTGGGCCGTCGCGCTCGGCTCAGCAAGGCTCCTACGCCGAGCGCTTCCCTCCTGGACGGGCCCCGAAAGCTTTACAGCATCATCGCTGCCCAAAAAAGGTTACTGGCAGGAAAGAAAATAAGAATTGGCAAACGGCGACTAGCTCAAACCATTTTGAGCTCGATGCAGGCTCTTGGGAAGAAAAGCCTTCTCCTCCCACCCCCGGAGCAGCCTGGCAAGGCCGGGCAAGAGCCACGACTACTCAGGACAACCCAACCTGGGAACGGGTCTCCACCCCACGAAGAGTCGCGACGGGCAGGGGGATAAAAATCAAGCATCGGCGAGGCACGAGCTGTCCCCAACTGCCCCAGGGCCTCCGGGGGAGCTGCGATGGGGGAGCCGCCTCCAACGGCTCCTCAGTCCCACGCACCGTGCAAGAAAGCGCTTTGGCAGCAGCTAAAAGCCTTAGGGTCCTGCAAAGGGAAGTGAACCCGCGGCAAGGCGTTAAGGCAGAAAATAGCAGTGGAAAGAGTTTCTCCTACCTGCCTCCGTGGCTCAAATCTGCTTTTAGGACGGAAACGCAAGTCGTTAGAGGACTGGCGGTCTTGCTTTGGGTCCGAGCGCGCCCAAGCCAGCCCCAAGCAGCTCGCCCTCTGAGTTCCCGGGCGGCCGCAGAGCGCAGACGAAAGCAAGGCAGGGTGGGAGGGGAGCGGGGAGCCCAGGTCAAAGGCTGACGACCAGCTGCAGCAGGTTAAGCAAAGAGCAGAGCAGAGCAATGTTTAGTTTGAAAGAGGTTTTAAAGTTCAATCTGACAAGGGAAAGTTTGGCCACCTACCCCACGCAAGCGCCAGATGCCCTCGATTCTTGCCACTACAAAAATTAAGAAGTCCTACCGTGCAAAAAAAAAAAAAAAAAACAAACCAACCCAAAACTTTCCAGCGTTCAGATGAAACCTGAGGTTTGCAAATACCTTCAGTCACCACACGTCAGTATCTCACAGCTCAGGAAAACGCCACGGGCATAACCTCCTCCGGCCCCAGCAAGGGCTCGAGTTAAACGCGAGTGGAGATCGTGGAAGGAGGCGAACGGGAAAGGCAGGGGACGACGCGCTCCGCTGCCCGGCTTTGCTCTCGCGGGAGCCCCAGAGCCACGAACGCCCCTCTGGAAAACCGGGCTGTGCCCAACAGAAACGACTTAACGTCATCCTCGCCCTCATCGCGCAGGAGCTAAAGCAGGCCCTGTGAGAGGGCACTTCGCTCGAGTTACCTGTTAGGGTGCTCCGAGCGGCTGCCAGCTTAATTTCCCAAGGCAAGAGGCGGTCCTGCAGGCGCCCGGCTCCCCAGCGGGACGTGGGGCTCCTGGCCGAGAGAAGCGGGCAGACGTCCAAGCCCGGCTTGCCGTTCCCCCAGTGCTTGGGGATAGTTAAATGCAGTGCAAAAGAGCAAACATCTCTGTATTTTGCACATCCCGTACACCTGAACCTCATGTGAACGAACTCTCACCAGCGTGACAAAGTACATTTGTATTGCAATTGCGTACCTCACTGCTCCCTACCACGAAGGCCAAATGCCTAATTAATGCCTATTGACACAGCGAGATTAATTCCAGAATCCAAATCGCAGGCAAGCTCCCTGCTGGGCCCCCCCCCCCCCAAACCCCCCAAAAAATTCACAGAGGTCTGAAGGGATCTGTGAATTCTCCAAGCCACAGCCTGTAGGGCTGCTGCACTCAAAAATAAGATTTAAGTGGCAATTGATGGCACAGCACTGCTGCCTGGGCAGGTCTCTGCCTAAGGAAGCATCCCAAACGGTAACCGCGTTAATAAGAAATACGAGCTGCCTTGTTTGCTTTCTCCACAACACTAAGATTTGCTTTGAAAGCCAAACACTTGACAAAAAAAGCTGGATTCTTTCCCCAGGAGAGGACCTGAGCTCCCTGGGGCCCCCTTAGGCTACGGGGGAAAACAGAAAGGAAACCGTCACGGACAGAAACGCGCAGCTTTCTGCCACGCTTCTCTTTCAACGCAATCCTCTGCGTAAGAGCCGAACGCTTCGAGGCTCCCAGCAGGGGAGGACGGCGGCGGGAGCGCGAGGCGCGACGGCCGGCCGTCGGGATCGGCTCCCCGGCCTACAGGCTGCTCCCGCGCCGGCACGGCAAGAGCTGCGGTTCTCAGAGAAGGAGCAGCTTGTTCCCTGTCGGAGGCTGTTTGGCCACTCTCCGGTTTGTAGCCACCTGACGACTTGCTAAAGGACTTGCTCCTCCAGGAGAGGAGGGAGCAGCCTTCAGCAGCTCCTCTGCTGGCATCTCTGCTGCTCCAGCCTCTGCACCCTGATCTGCAGGAAGCGGCACCCAGCCAAGAGACTCTCATCACACATGCAGCCCAGACAGAAAATGAGAGAGATTTCAATGTGTTCTCCATTAATTTATCATTTAATATAAATGCTGACAGAAAAGCAGATAAGACCTTGTAGACACTTCCATCTATTTACAAACCAAGTAGCGAATCATCTCCTTTCTGCTTGTTAAAATATTTGTTTAACCTGCAACTCAGAGGACCCTTAGACACGAGGTGCGAGCCAGGTGAGGCCGAGCCAGCTTCAAGAGGGAGAAACGCAAGGGGAAGTGGAAATAGCGCTTCCACTTATGGCTTTTTCTATATAACCACCATGTTTGCACGACAGGTCTTCACTTTGCTGCTCTTTAACACAAAAGCGATGCTTTTGGCTCTGTAGCTCTACAAAGGAAATAAGGAGAGGGACACTGACTTTCCGATCTTGGGATCCTCTCGTCTTCTGCCTCCTTCAACCCTCTACTTCCCACTTCAGCACATCATCTACAAGGCTTCTCTTTTCAAATGTACTTTGAAGGAGTAAAAATAAAGGGAGTTGCAAACAGTGACCCCTTTCGCCTACTCCTTTGGTTGTCTCAGGAGTTTCTCCAAAAGGTGGTAAAGTATCTGACCTCTCAAGGAAAGGTATCTGAGTGCCCCGTGTGCCTCTGAGCGTCTCCCCCGCGGCCAGGCCTGCGCGTACGAGGCTTCAGGATGCCCCTGACCTGGCAGAGATTGCAGGTTATGGAACTCTTTCACACGCTCTCTTTAATCTCTGCGCCTGTTAAAAATGTTGCATTAGACAACAGATGTCCACAATACCAACCCAGTGCAGAGTCAGCCATCCCCATACGGCTCGAGAAATTTTTTTTTTTTTTTTTTGGATGGGGGAAGAGAAGCAGGAAAGGAAGAAACCACAGGAGGGAGAAAAGCAAGGAAAGAACTAGTTCAATAAACAAACAGAAAAAGGGAAGCAATGACATTTTGTTCAGCATTGATTTATGAGAACACCAGACAAGCAATTTCACTTATCCAAAATCCTAAATAAATTCAAGAAATAGTTCATAACCTGACTCAACAAATCTCACGGTCTCCTTTATTAACCTAGACTATCCTTTTTTATTTTATTTTTTATTTTTTTGTTAAATATACCTCCGCAGGGCACAATCACATACAATCAATACGATTGGAAAATTACATGAGCTCTATCCCAAGCATATATGCACCAAATGTTAAAAAGTTATTAAAAAAAACCCAACCAAACAAAAAGCAATAAAATAAACTCCACCCAAAAAGGTGACAATGACTGCAGAATGTCTCGGGGAGACTCGTATGACACTAACGAGATCAAAGAAAACTAGGCGTACAAAAACCAGGGGAAAAACGCATCTCTAGAGAAATCCCACAACTGGAAGTAGATGATTTCAAAGTGGGGGGGGGGGGCGGGGAGAAAAAAACCCCCCCCCCCCCGCACGTGCCTTGCCTCACCTCTTCCTCCCCAAAGCAGTGAATGCGATGGGGAAAGAGCTCTTGACGTTAAGCGACCAGTTGCAGGGGAAAAAAAATAAAAAAATAAAAAAAAAATAAATCAGGAAAACCGGTCCAGCTACAGCGCAGTTGCTAAGCCGACTTCAAGGAAAGCTCCTCCGAGCAGAGCGGCTGCTCCAGCAGCAAGCAGAGGCCAAAGGGGCAACGGGAACTCCTTAAAACTAGAAAGCCCAAGAGTCACTTGATGCGTTAGATTTGCCATGCTAGAGCAGCTCCCCTCAGGAGAGGCTGCAGGTTAAAGGTATTAATTGTAAAGGGGGCAGCAGCTGCGATGTTACGGGGGCTGCTTCTGCCTCGGAGTTGTTTTCTACGTGCACGAAACGCTGCTGCCAAATCTCATTTAAAAAGCTAGGAATAAAGAGGTCAGCGCACACGTCCAGTTGTGGGATCCATGCAGTACACAATCCGGTTTGGATGCCAAAGACTTGTGAGTACTGTCTGCCACAGAATTATTAATAAATCCATTTAACATTACAAAGCAGCAAATAATTTCTTAAACATGAGATACTCCACAAGATTTGCTTTTTTCCTTACAGGTGTATTTTTGCCCTACGCACCTCATATGTACTTCCACCATACCCAATATGCTTTTTATTTTCAGAGATATCGCCTCACTCCTTGTTGCGTTTTCCCCAGGATCGTATTTTTAAATTGAAGCTGTATTGTGTTTTCCTAAGATTTTCAGATCCAATAATCAGTCGTCTCCTCGATTATGGGAGCATCCAACCACGAATATCCACAGATACTCACTCTGCTTGACGAAGCAAGACTCCCAAAGTTTCCCAAATGCTGAACATTGGGCAATTTGCACTAAAATCATACACAGACTCACTGGAATTGCAAAGACTGTGCCTCTCAAAGACCAGCTAACTATTTAGGTTACTAAGCATCTAAATTTGATTATTACAGTCACATATTTTAAGCTTCAATGCTTAAGCTCCTGATGCAGCAAGGATAAAGACAAAGCCAGACTCCCACATGCTCCTTTCATTGGGAAATTTCAGAAAAAGCTGCACCCTTCTTTACTAGGGCGTTCAGAGAGCTTCCACGGCATGATGTTACACTTGCCATCGAGGGGAAGGGGGGGGGGGGAATCAAATTTTAAACTACGTTTGCTCACCTTTCTTTTCCAAGGCCGTTATCTGTATTTACCTTTCCTTTCCAAGGCTGTATCTGTATTTTCAAGGCTGTATCTGTATCACAAGAACTGGCTCCAAGACTGTGACAACACTAAGTAGTCACGTTCTTCCTGTACAAGAATAAAGACCACATACGAACTGTGCCGGGAGGCTGTGCTGGGATAACATCTCCCCAAAGAGCTGACTCGCACCAAATAACTTGGACTAACTGACTCTTCAGCCTCTTTCTCCTTGCTGACATTTCAGCAAAAAAGCAAGCATTTAACAGTGGAACATGGAAAAGAAGAGTCCCAAGTCTCTACGGTTCAGACACCTGATCTGAGAGCAAATCAGTTAGCACCACGCAGTCTGTAGGCTCCGGTACTGCAGGCGACGGCCATCTACCCCCCTTTTTTTTTTTTTTTTTTTTTTTAATTTAGCACCAAGGCTATATCCAAAGGTGGCTCAAAACAGTTGCCTCACTTTCCTCATAAATTCAGAGTTGACATTTATTCAAGGAAGGCAGACGTTTCCCCAGCTCCATGTCTAAATTACAACTTTAAAAGATACAAGTACTTTGCTTCCTTTTTTTTTGGTCCAAGGAAATCACTTCACTGCGTTACAAAAAAATTACACTGCTGACACACTGATTTATTTAACTTTTTTTTTTTTTTTTTTTTTTTTTTTTTAAAGTCGGTGTCACCAACATTCGATGGGATAGAAAGTGTGAGTTTTGCAGATGGGAACCATGAGGACAACATGAAGGTGAAGTCATGCCACAGTCAGTCTTGCTCTACGTTCATTCTAACTACTCTAGGACTATAAATACTTTGTCATACACACACAAACTCACTCGCACACTGCTTTTACGGTACAAATTTTTTCCCCTTTATTGAGCAGAGAAAATGAGCTGGCAGTCCTGTTGTTGAGCCGCCTGATTTTTAGGACTAAATTTCTTGGACCATACAAGTGGTCTGAAATGGCCCTTCAACTAAATATACCTTTTGTTGGGATTCTTCAGAAAACTATCCTATAGTCTGGTTCACTACTGTCCAGACTTATAAATGGAAATGGCAAAAAGCTGAAAGTTTCTGTTACTTCTGCAGAGTTCTCCGAACCTTAAAATAATATTCCGCAAGAGTTTAAGTTAGGTCGAGGACAGGAACCTCACTCCTAGTCCTCTCCAACGCAGAATTGTCCCCACCTTACTCAATTCTTGCTCTCAGACAACGTCATCATACAAGAGCGCTTCTTCCATATCTAATTTAATGTAAAGCCACAGTTTGACAAGTCTTTTCAGTTCCAATGGGCTTAAAAGTCAAGAGTCACATTCGCAACACAGATTTATCTTTTACTATAATTGAAGAAATTTTAAATCAGTATTCAAGTCAATTTAGATTTAAACACTTACACACAAGGCTTCTTTGATTATAGAAATTTCTAAGTTCCTTCTCCCTCTCTAAAATGAGCCACTTCACCAGCTGGGAGAGCGCACAAGAGAATGAAAACATGTTAGCATACTCCAGGTACATCTCAACACGTTGCAAATTTTATGACTAAACGGAATGATTTTCCACCATTCAATGCATGGATAAGGCTTGACAATCATTAACTTCTGTAAGTTTCTATTAGGATAATACAGTCAACTCACAAAACCCTACAAAGATTTGACAATCGAAACAACTACACCGGGGGGGGGGAAAAAAAAAAAAAAAGTGTAAAGCACAAGTCTTTGGCTCTCCTTTAAAGAAAAACAGCAGTTTACCATGTTTATACAGATCCCCCGTTTGCCTACCAGTAGGGGCAATATCACATTTGTGCATCACTGAGTAATAACACCATTAGAAAAGGCAACTTCACAGAAGTTATTGGCTAAGCGAATTCATTTGAATGCTCTGTTTTGAGGCAGCAAGCTGTCACTGTTACACAATCAGGGAGGGTGAAGGGGCAAGCCACAGAAGGAGAGAAAGGAAGGTATGGACAAAAGGGAGAGAATACGGCTCCGAAGAAACCAGACAGCAAAGAAACTGAGAAGAAAGGGGATAGATGACAGTGCTGCAAGTCTGAAAGGTGCTCAGAGCTAAAAACAAAGTCCTACTCTACAACGGGACAGGATACGATAGTACACACAAGGGGTGGAAGGAAAAACGTAGATTTTTTTCTATCAAGAGAAGACAATTGGGTCACAGGGAAGGAAGCCGGGAGATGCTTACAGAAGGAGGAGGAAAACGACAACAGAACTAAACATCGTTTCTACACTGACCGAAATGCCGCTCGACTTTCTAAAGCCTAGCCTACTGCTTGAAGCTTCCCATTGTTAGGGTTTTGTCCGTTGCTGGGGCTGAAACCCTGCTATCAGTAAGCGTTCAAAGTTGTCCACCTCATCGAGAAACCGAGCCTACCTACCGAATGATGCAGTAGCGTCCTAACACCACTGCAGTACTGTTTCTGCTCGCTTGAGCGGAAGGGACCAAGCCGGCTTTCAGCCGAGACCAGTTTCACAGAAGCGGACGCTATTCCTGTACAACTGGGGCAATGACAGGATATAGAAATTAATGTAGCAGTATACAGAGTTGCTCCAAAAAGTTTAATTCTCTGGTAATCTGCTATAACCATCGATGTTCCACTATTTGTGGAGCTACCTGTTCTCCGACTTCTGCTAGCATGGTTTTTCGCAAAAAGTGAACAATTTGGGTGCAGCTTCCATACAGACTTAAAAGCATGTGTCGTCGTTTGTTATTCGACTTGTTTAATCCATTAAACTTGTCTAAAGATGTAAGGAAAGGGCAAAAGGGGCGGGGGGGAACCAAAGCCAAAAATCAATATACTTTGTAGATATTAAACAAAAACTATTTAACAAGCCAAACTATAATACTGCGCAAACAGGACATTCACCTGGACACAGCGATCACAACAAGGACACTATGCACAAAGTACAGCACAGAGAAAGCTAGACAAAGGAGAGGAAAAGAAATCTATATTGGTAAGGTCTCTTTTTTAATCCACAGCTTCTGGAAGCATTCACCATCCGCAGGCCAGCAAGGGAAACCTGAATAGCTCTTCACATAGAGATCCTCCCAGAGGCGAAAGCTGGCAGCGGGGGGGAATACTTTCAGGTCTGGAAAGGAAATTAGCTGGCACAAGTGCTAACAGGCACAATTTTTTGCCCCTCCAGATTTTCTTCCTAGTGTTGAAAATAAATCTATAGTTCCAGACCTACCATAACCGTTTCTGAAAACTTAGTTTACTAAAGATTACCTGAAGAAAGGTAAGCACACCTACATTCTGGGCTTGTCCTCCTCAATTAGGATATTGCACTATCTCAACTAAAATGAGCTTCCTGTGTTAAGACAGACACAGCAGGAAGAAGTAAACTAACTAAAAACCACGAAGAGAAGGCTGACCTGATGGTGGTGCTCTGCACTTAAGGAAGAGAGAACACAGCACGGGGTCCCGGGTCAGTTCACTTGTGAGCGTGCTGCCAGGGGAACATGCTAAAAATCATCATGCCCTACGCGGAGAAGGGAGGAACAGACCTGACAGGCTCTATAAACTGCATCGGCCTCGTTCTTCTCAGCTCGAAGGAGAGCAGCTGTAATGCTAGGTCTCAAGTAGGAGATATAGATGGATGGGGGCGGGGTGCAGATGAAGCTAACTCTAGCACAAAGATGACTCTCTGCCAAACACTAAGAGGAAAAGAAAATAAATAAGCTTCAAAACTACTTCGCTTGGCAGTTCAGAGGCCAAAGCTGGCCTAAGAGTGAAATAAACCCGTATGAGGACGTACGGAGCATGTGGGTGCGTGCTGAACAATGCCTTTATCTTCATTCAGTGCTTCTACCTCCCAGACATTTGATCACAACAGCTGCGCTCATGCGAAAAAATTCTTAAAACATACCCAATATATATATAAATATAACTATGTATATAGTATCAAATCCTTGACCAGCCAGGTCTGTAGGGCATAATCAAATTCAATGTGAAATAGTATATAAACGCGGTGCCTTGACTGGGCAAATTAAATAATTGCTACTCAAAAGAGTCTTCTGTTTGGACTCTCCTACTGGTAGGCAATAGTGGGACTGTATCCCCTCCCACCCCCCATTTTGTTTTATTTAACAGTATGATGAATGCAAAGCTTAGCCCAAGGTTGCTATGACCTCAGCAGGAGTTAAGGTTAAGGAAAAAACTAAAAACCAAGAAAATTATTAACTCTTGCTTTACCCAACCAAAGCAATGCAGTAATTTATTACATAACCAGTGCTTTCTGATTTAGTAGTCTAATCCAGAAAGAAAAATGAGAACGGGCCAAGAAGGTGTAGAGGGAGCAGCACGTCAAAAATCAATCTCCCCAGAATTCTCCATTTAGAGGGCCTCACCCCCAGTGCACGTAGAAACAGTCAAAAAAAAGTGCAGCAAGAACAAAACTTTTTCCACTTTAAGAGAAGAGATTTAGAGAGACTTACAGTTTCTCTAACTTTTGCTTACAAAGCATCCACTTGGAGAAGCGGCACGTTAGATTTATCAAGCAAAATTTGGCTTTCAGTACTTCTGACTACTTCAGCCAGGATCAGTGCTGCGACTTAAGTGGTGGTTTTTGATGCTACTTTCCTCCCACGAAAAAGAAACGCTGGCTTCAAGGAAGGATTCAGTGCAGCAGTGGCAGACAAGCTGCAAAAGCAGCGGCTTGATTCTGAGGCGTCCGGTTCTGGTAAGTACACACCCTGAACAGCATCCACCTTTTAAAAAAAAAGGAACTTCTCCTCTATTTCCTCGCTTTTTCCTCTGTTTTTGACAGATTCAATAGCATCACAGTAAAGTAACTATGCTTTGGTGAACAAAAAGTAAAAAGAAAAAAAAAAATCAGCTTACAGAGGAAACTGATGGTTTTAATAACAAGATAATAGCAACGAGGAAAAAAAAAAAACAATGGTAAGAGTTGCTGAGAGGAAAGCATACATGGAAGAACTGTTTCAAAAGGCAGAGAGCTTAGCGAGTCCCACTGCATTGATTTAATTGTATGGACTTCGGCTAAGGTTGTTTTGAAGGCATGGCAAGGAAAAAAAAAACCCACAAACAACAAAAAAAATCCCAAACACTGGACGAGCTAACATGGTTCAGCAAGCTCATCTACAGTTAATGTCCAGTAATTGCATGTGCTTCTGTTCTCTCTGCTTTATTTCTAGAGAGTCTGCCTTGGTCACGCTGAGCAGTCTTTGCTGGTCATCTAAGCCTCTCTACCACAAGCCCCAGCTAACCAGCTTCAGAAACACCCACGTTTTGACTACATTAGTCTACACTCTGCCAACTTCTTTAGTCCCAACAGAAAATAGGTCAGCAACTTTCAAATAAAACAACATACCTGCGTTGGACAGTTTTTTTTTGTTACCCATTTTAATCATACGTGCTGGGCTGGGGCACATATTATGGACTGTACTTGTTGCACTGAAAAAGATTCTGCCACTTGCAGTTTAAGCTTAAATTATTTAAGCAAAATGTCGTGTACAAGTTATGGTTCAGTTCTTAGCCACAAAGGGAGGAACTGTTTTAGGAATGAAATTTGCTGCACATCTTCTGACACTACAGTTCACAGCTACTCTCCAACCCTCCTTCCTTGTTCCCTTTTGACTCCTACAAGGAAGTGGCCATGCCGCTTTAATTGTTGAGAAATGAAGGTGATAAAAGAAACTTATGCACTGGGTATGTAATAATACCAAAATAAAAGAAAAAACCTACTTCATTAAGATCATACAATTAATCAAACAGAGTATATATATAATATCTTTTTTTTAAGCCCTGGGATCCAAGGCGTCCAAAGTTATTAAAATAAAGTTCATTCACAGAACAAAAACAAATTTAATTTGAATCGCTTGCAGATACTGCTAATTTTCATTTTTTTAATTAAAAAATGTGTTAATGTGAACTATGTGCAGGATTTGTTTCTAGTAGTTGTGTTTGTGCACATTGCCTCTGGACCTGCTGCTCTGCTACTGTTGTTGCTCCTGGGTTTCTCCAATCACCCCCGGAAAAAAACGCAATGGAAGCTAACACCACCCCAGCAAAAGAAACTCTGGGGTATGCTAGCCTCACTTCAAGGAGCAGATGTGGGTGTAACTCCCGCTCTCTGGGAGTCGTGGTTGTCTCCTCCGCCCTCTGGGTCCTCCGACAGGCTCAGAGATGCCGTCTTGTTCGACAGGAGGCTGATGTTCTCTTGTGTCAAGGCTGATCCGTTTGGAACATCACTGCTGAAAGACAGTTGTAAGGAGAAAAGGGACGGGGGGGCGGGAAGAGAAGTCATTACCGAGATGCTTATATTATTATTATTTTCGTTATTTTTATTATGTGAACAACATGGACTTGAGTGTTTGTTGCTGCAGCGTGTCAAACAGTTGTGAACAAACGTAAATAGGTAAAGACATGCCTCGTGCAACGAACAGGTTCTTTGGTATACCGCAGGCTTTTCCCAGAAAGAGAAGAAATAAGATAAGGAGACTCAAAAACAAACAAGATATAAGAACGTTTTAGGGGTCTAGATTGGTTATGTTTCACTAAATATTTCAGTATATTCCATAAAAATCTGCAGTACAACGCTCATGCTCCAGAATATTTAAAATATTGGGATCATTTTTCTTAAAAAGGTATTTTAGAAATGCTTGTCTATCGCATTACTTCTGGAGTTTCAGACACAAACTGCGACTGCATTAGTTTCTCCTCCAGAGGGCTCAGTCTAATGCCACAGAGCAGAACTCATGGCTTGGTTATAAAAAGAAAGTACAGACTTCCTAAGCAATTAAGAGGGATATATTTTCTAACTGACTTTCTCTGAGCAAGTATCCAGATTCAAAACCGCTCACACGAATTTATGTTTCACTAAGCCAAGTTTACATCTGCAGCGCTTGAGCCTTTCTGTCAAGATATCAACCTGAGTATCGGCAGATGCTCGTAGGCATCCTACAACGGCTGCTGTGCAGACTTCCAGTGTTCCCAGCCAAAAGCTTATTTCCATTTGCTTTATCCAATGCAAGTTTAAACGCACCTCCACATCTATAGGAAGAAAAGTCACTGCCCACAAACGAAAAGTGAACTTTGTTCCAAAGCTTCCTACCCTCCTAGGCAACATCCACATCAGTCATTAGCAGGATGGAACAACTTTCTTTTCACATCTGGAACGCTACTTTTCTTTGAAACTACAACAGCAGACAACAATCTCTCTTCCAGTTGTTGTATTTCCTTTCTTCCCTCCCAATCATCCAGCACTGGCTAGACAGGCTTTTGGTCTGGCAATATGACAGTTCTTCTGTTCCATTAGTTAATACACAGCCTCATTCCACTCCCCCACTCATCAGCTGATTTAGTCCCCAACTCATGCTTGCACTGTAAAAACCTGCTTTATATAATCTTTCCTAATAGATGCTTCCACAGAAGAAAGTTTGAAGCGAGGGGCCTTACTCATATGCCAGAGAGCCACCCTGATTTAGTTCTTCTCTGGTACGCGAAACAAGGCTGGAAGAACCACGAGGAGCTCCTCAATGTTACCTGAACGTCAGTGCGAGGTCCTCAGCTGGAACCTTGCTTTGCGGTTCTAATTGTCCATTTTCTGTCTGTTTAGCGGTGCCCAGTTTGTTTTTCATATCCAGTGAAGACTGGCTCTCCTGTAGAGGAACGGAAAGGAGAAAAATTCTTCAGCACCATACTAAGAATTTGGGACTTTGTTCTTTGAGACCAATGATGAAGGCCTGTAAATTGAAGTTACACAATGTACAATGTAGCCCACAAAAGCCATGACACAAGAAGAGAGACTCAGTAAGATATGCTCATCCTGTCAGGACACAATATTTCCTGAAAGGAAGGAACAGTTCTTGTAACAACAAGCAGAGACCATAGACTGTAACAGCACATAGACTACCAAACACTAACCTGCCCCCAGAGAAAATGTTTTCTCTGTTAAAGCAATTCACACAATTCATGGCACAGTGACCTAGGAGACAACTCAGTTTTCAACAAATTCAGTGCCACCTTTATTTTTTAAAAGGCTATAAAATAATAGCAGAGTATTTTAAAGTGGCTAGAACTCAAATTCTTCCTACAGAAGAGTCAAGAAACTTCTCTGGAGGCTTTGGTGAATAAAGCAGCGAAGAGGGAAATGGATGACTCCAGCTGTGGTCATCCAGCAGAGAGCTTTTTTGCCAGGGCGAGATGGCTGCAGCCAGCTACACAGCTCTCCACTCCACCTCTCTGCCTCCCAGCCCCATGGCACTCACCATGCTCAGCTCACGGGTTCTCTTCCCAATTTCCCTCTCCACCTGGTGAAGCTCCAAGCTCAGTTGTTCACTTGAGATCATCCCAGGCCACTTGGGAGGTGGGGGTGGGGGCTGTGGTTGGCCTGCCAGGGTAGTCGCCTCCCTCTGCAACAGCAGCCTGTTACTAACAGCCTAAATGCATAAAGCCAAGCACATACACAACTGAGCACACAACACCAAGCACAAAAAGAGCACTAAGCCATAAGTCTGGAGTATTGCTGATTTGCAAAACCAAGGCCTTCTCCCTCTTTGCTTAACAAGGTCCCAACTGAAACCATTTCCAGTGAAACTGCAAGTGTCTCCTCTACACGCAAAAGTCTCTTTAAATAACCAGGGTTAAATACCTTTTACTGTAACAAATTTGCATGGATTTTCCCCACAGACCTCTCCCTTCTCAAAATCAAGGCCAGGTACATCAACAAAAACATCGTTCTTTTTTGTGAGTCATTTGTGGAACAAAAGTTAATGGCAGATGAGCAAATCCACTGCCTGGAAATTAGAGAGAAAGGGAGCTTTACAGTAATAGAATTTATCAAATCTCTGCAATATAGTTCAGTATCATTACAAGTCGTGTAACGCATCCTAAGAGAGATGGGGACATCAATATGCAGCTCTCCACTGACCCAGA